GTCACACTGGTTTGAGCCCCAAAGGATGCACGTGGGCACGTCCCTGCCTGTGCAATGCCCAAAACAACCTTTTTATTGCTGCTTCTTGCTGCTTTTCATCACTTTTGGGTCCCTTCCCTCCGACATCGGGTCACAGGAGGAGGATGCCGAGACATCTCCCGCAGCTGCATAAACAGGGAATGCTGAATAGTTCCTTTTTTTTAAAAAAAAAACCAAAACCCCGCCTTTCTCCCACCTTTAATTTTCACATTTAGTGCCCAAACTTAGTTTGCGTGTATTAGCTGTCATAAATCCAGCCTAACGGCGGTGCCGGGGATGAATAATGCATCAGGGACTGGATTCTTTTTCAGTCTCTGATTTTATTTATGACAGGAGCCGGGTGGGAATTTTTGCAGATGCTGGGGGATGGTGTAAATAGTATTTGATGGAGAGCTGTGTAATAGGGTCTTGGGTCCGCCTGGATGGGACCGGTGACCTGGGAATAAACCGTCAGGGGATAAATCCCATGTGGGGTGGGGAACAAGAGGGAGATGACCTAAAAGTCTCTATCCGCCCCCATTTTGTACAAGCTTTTTGGGGGGATGCTTTATGCCGGCCCTCTCCGGGAAGGGGATCGATACCTGCTCCTCTTTTTTGTTTTTTTAATCTAAAGCAAATTTTAAAGCAAAAAACGTTTCAAAGCCATAGGAGAAATGAAGGCGAAGTCGCTGCGTGCAGGTTTCTCCTCCAGTGATTTAATCCTTCGATGCTAATATGAGTTTTTATGTTGGGAAATCTGCAGCAGGGGTGATTTTTTGATACAAAAAGGTGTTTTTCCTGCAGTTTGCCTCCCCTGTCTGATAAGGAAATGCTCCGGCAGGGAGCTTGGGAAGCAGATGGGACCGGTCCATGATCCCCAAATAGCTCTTGCAGGGGAGCTGAGCCTTTGATCGCTGATTTTTTGGGGTTGGAGGGAAGCAGGAAGGTCTCGTCCCATCTTGGGATGGATTTTGCAGGTGCATCTAGTCTGGGAAAGTCTTTTAAAGAAGGAAAAAAAAAAACCTGGAGGGGTGGGAAAGGCTGTATTATCATCCAAAAAAATCCCAGGAGGGGTTTGGAGACGGGCTGGTCTCAGTGTCCTCTGCCCAAGCCAGAGCTGGCGAGGAGGAATGGGACCTCAAGGTCGCTCTGGTCCCCTCCCCGTGCAGCTTTGCAGCCCTACAGCAGCTCCTGGAGAGAGTCTGAGCTAGCAGCAATTTTAGGGAGCAACCCCTTTGATTTCCTTTTTGCAATTCCCCTTTTGGCAGCAAACCTTTGAGGCCCACCCGGACACGGAGGCCAGCGTCACGCACATGATCAAGGCGGGCAGCGGGGTCTGGATGGCCTTTTCCTCGGGCTCCTCCATCCGCCTCTTCCACACCGAGACGCTGGAGCATCTGCAGGAGATCAACATCGCCACCAGGACCACCTTCGTCCTGCCGGGTGAGCTCCCCTTTCCCCCTGGCTCTTAATTGCGATTAACGGGCAAGCTGGGGCATCGCTCCGTAGATGTGTCGCTTTGCTTTACGGCTGTGCTGATTTGCAGAGAAACTGTGCAAGGAATTTATCTGGTTCATGGTGTAAAGGGCTGAGCTTGGACCTCTGGGGGTCTCTCCTCATTGACTGCGGAGGTGGAGCTGGTGGCATCTTTGCACCTGTAGGTGCACCCGTGCATCCCATCTTTGCACCTCTGCTCCTGTACGTGTACCTTATCCGGGCACCCCCACCCTTGCACACGTGCGTGCATTCACTGACTCCGTCTTTGCACCCGTGCATGCATCCGTGCATCCCATCTTTGCATCTGTGCACCTCATCCTTGCACCCATCTTTGCACCTGTACGTGCAGCCGCAGAACCCATCTTTGCACCTCTGTGCACCCCGTGCTTGCACATCCACGCACCCATGCATCCACGCACCCCATCTTTGCACTGTGCCTGCATCCACATACCCATCCTTGCCCCTATCTTTGACCTGTGCCTGCATCCTTGCAGCCCATCCTTGCACCTGTGTGCATCCTTGCGTGCATCCATGCATCCCCCTTCGCACCTGTGTGTGCGTCCTTGCGCCCATCTTCATCCCCACGCATGCATCCTTGCGCCCGTCTTCGTCCCCGTGCACACGTCCTTGCACCCCATCCTTGCGCCCATCTTCATCCCCGTGCACGCATCCTTGCACCCGTGCGTGCATCCATGCATGCACCCCGCCGCCGTTGCCCCGTGCGCCCCGTTTTCCCCAGCTTACCGTCCAGCACTGTCTCCTAGCCGTGCCCACCCATCCTGCTCTCACCCGCCCCAGGCCTGCAAGGTTGTCTCCCCCCTTGTTCCAGCTAGAGAGCGACATAATTGTGTAATTAGTTATAAGCGCGATACTCGTGTAAGTCGCTTTTTCTTTTTTTTTTTTTTTTTTCTTTTTAGGGCATGTTAAAATATTTATCACTTCCTTTTCTTCCTGGGCGAGGGAGCGTTGGGTATTAATGCGTTTTTGAACTCGTGCTCCCTCATCCTTTTTAACTTGACAGGTCATTAATAAAGTCCTCCTGGAGAAACCGGAGTTGCATCTCCGCAGATATATTGCTTCGCCGAGTCCGACGCCGTGCAGCGCTAAGTCCCGGCAATAAAATATTCATTTGCCATTAGAACTCTCACTTTCTTTCCCCACCCCCCCCCGGCCCCCTTTCCCTTAT